GATGGACCCCAGGTCCCACGGGGGAGCCAGACAGCAAGACTCAGGCCAAGGTCTAGGTCTTGCCCGGCCCCGGGGGGTCCCCGCCACGGTGCTCCCCTACCTCGGCGTCCCGGGGGGAGAACCGGGCGATTTGGCGCTGAGTCTCCGCCACGTCGTGCCCCAGCAGGAGTGAGCGCGGGGGGGTCCGGGCCTCCAGCACGGGGGTGAAGGAGTAGGGGTCGCGGGGGTGCAGCCTCAAGCCGTGCCTCTGCAAGGGGTGGGCACCACGGCTGGGACCCGCGTCACCGCCCAGCAGGAGGGGACAGGCGGGGGGCAGTGTGCGGGGCAGTGGGGGTCGTGGCTCTGGCTGCGAGCGGCTGTCGCGCCCCAGGATTGGGACCCCCGGGAATTATGGCCCCAGCTGAGGCGGTGCCAGGCTCTTACAGCCCAGCGGATGTAGAGGGGGAACCCGCTCGCCCCAGAGAGCCGAGCCGAGGCAGGAGGTACCTGCAGCTCCAGGTCCTTGTAGATCTGCGGGCGCAGCAGGCTGAGCAGGTAGGAGGCTCGGGAGAACTTGAAGCCTGAAAGGTGAAGCCGGCGGTGGCGCAGGGGTCAGCGCTTGGCCCAGCCCCACCTGGGCTGGGGCAGCAGGGCAGAGCCGGGGGTACCTGGGATGATCTCCTCCGTGACTGCGGCACCCCCCAGCACGTGGCGTCGCTCCAGCACGGCCGTCCGCACCCCCGACTTCTGCAGGTAGGCGGCCTGCCGGGCACCCCAGAGTCTCCCCTAGGACACCCCCAAGCCCTTGGCCCGCACCTGCACGTGACACTCCCCTGCCCTGCAAGCGCCCTATGGAGACCCCCTGGGCTCTGTCCGCTGCAGCGCGGGGTCCTACAGTACTGCCCCAATGCCTCCCCCCCTGCCAGGAACGACCCAGCTGCACCCGGGGCAGAGGCCTTGCAACTCGGTACTCACAGCAACCAGCCCGTTGTGCCCTGCAATGAGACGGGGGGGGGGAGAGGAGCCCTGGGGCAGTTTTGCACCCCCTACCCATACCGTCCCCAGTAGCTGGTGCCAGTCACGCCAGCAGGCAATGCCGTGCTGGGATCACACGTGGACTGGCCCCCAGAGCCCGTGGCACCGCGGTCCAGCCCCACTACCTGCGCCGATCACCACGGCGTCGTACTCTGGCTGCAGCTGGGCCCGGGCCCCGGGATGCGCCAGGCGCTGGCTCGGCAGCCCTAAGGCGGTGCGGGCCGTGCCCAGCCTCCGGCCGAGCCCGGCTGCCATCTCTGCACCAGGCAGGGGCTGCGGCTGCGGCTGCTGGGCTGGACTTTGTCTCCTCATCAGCAGTTTGCACGAGGCGGTGCCTGGGCATGGATGGGTGGATGGCCGGATGCAGCCCCCAGCTGCCGGCGACGTCACGGGCCTGCGGCTCCAGGCACCGCCTGCCTTCTCCAGCACTCGGAGCAAGTGGGCCGCGCGCAGGAGCCCCAGGGCTGGCGGGGGCATGGGAAAGCCTGACCCCGGGAAGCGAGGCCGGGAGGGGATGCCCACCTCCAGGGAGGATGCCCTTGGGGCCGGGCCACCCAAATCCTGCTTCCATTCACCTGCCAGCACCTCGCTTACGGCTAAGACAGGCCCTGCCCCAGGCTGCAAGGGCTCAGGATGAAGGGGAGCAGAGTCCCAGCCCCCAGACGCAGGGGCTTTCTCCCACCCCTGGATCTTGCCCCCCAATGGGTCCCGGCAGGGCCCAAGCCCCGGCCCCGGGGAGCAGAAACCAGCCGGCACGTCACACTGACCAGTTGCAGCAGCTTTAATCAAGGCAGCGATAGACCCACCCACCCAGCACAGCACGGTCTCCACCATCCCCAGCCACGCCAGGGCCCGGCAGCCGGGGAGGTCTCCAGAGCTGGGGGCAGTGGAAGAGGCAGGGGGCACGGGACGGATGCCGAGGGATCCCCCCCCCGATCCGGGGACAGGCCCGTGGTGGGGGCGTGGTGCCGTGGCAGCCGCAGGACCCGGCTCAGAGCAGCGGGATGCGGGAGGGCTCCCAGAGGCGCCGGGCCAGGTCGGCAGCCTGCTGGACCACCAGCTCGGGGGGCAGGACGCCCAGGTGCAGCGTCAGCAGCTCGTAGCACTTCACCGCCTCGGCCTGCTGGTTCTTGCTGTAGTAGCGCAGCAGCTTCCTGGGGGAGGCCGCGTGCGTCAGGGAGAGGGGGCAGCCCCCCAGGTGGGTGCCAGAGCCCCTTGCCCCCTTCCAGGGCTCTGCCTGGCCAGACTGAGATCAAGGAGAGCACGTGGTGTCTCCCCCCAGCCCTGCCTATGGTTTCCCGTCCCCCCTTCCCCAGTTAGACGGGGCCCCAGACACCTGGGTCCAAATCCTGGCTCTGTTGGGGGCTCCCAGCCGGCACTGGAGCAAGGGGGATGTAGCTCGCTCCCTGCCCCGTGTCCTGCTCCCACTGCTGAGGCTGCTCCAGCCAGCGAGGCCCATGGGTCCCAGAGCCCCCACCCCCAGGAGGCGAGGGGTACCCCTCCGGTGGCTCCCCCCACCCCAGCCAGCCTGGCTCGCACCGGGACCAGGGACCTGGGGAGCAGGACAGGGCCTGGGCTCACCTGTAGTAGTCGCCCGTCAGCATCCCGATGGGAGCAGAGTCATCGGAGAGCACCGGGACCTCCATCACCTCCAGCTTGTAGCCCTGGCGGGGATGGGGCAGGGGTGAGGGGCAGGGCAGGAGGGCTGCGATGCCCCAGGCAGGGCTGGTCCTGGCCTTCCCTGTCCCGGCTGCCAGGAGCAAAGCGGTCCCTGGGGAAGCCTCTGCCACGTACCAGCTCGTTCTCGAACCAGAGGAAGTAGGAGCAGTAGTAGTCGCCGTCCCGCAGCACCAGCGTGGTGTAGCCCTTCTGTAGGTAGCGCCGCGCCAGCGCAATCAGGGACCAGACCTAGGGAGACGCAGCCGCTGGAGCCCACGGCACAGACCCCCGGAGCCCGTTGCCTTCCTGCCCCCGCCCAGACCTGCGCTCCGCTCCCCTGCCCTGCCCCCAGCCCCAGCAAGGCTAGCGGAGCCCCACGAGGGTCCTTTGCCCCCTCCCCTGCCCTCACGGCTCCCAGCCCCCCACCCCCTACCTTGCTCTTGATGAAGGCGGGCCGCTC